TACCTGAAGGTTCCACTGATCCTCCCATTTCAGCCTTCCAGGTGTCTGGCACAGCAGACGTGTGCCATCACACCTGCCCCAGTTCTTTCTTTTTGTCCAAGTTTTTAGACACATCATGCTCAAAGGTTTGAAAGAGGGTAGGAAGAGCAAAGAATTTCATCTTTTTAAATTGTTCTTAATTTAGTATTAGGGCTGCTCCCTACCTCCCACCTGTCCCCACTGAAGCCTTGTTATTGCAAGTCTAGTCTCTCTGTTAGTTCATCTGCTGCTGCCTCTTTCTGTTTTCAGCAGCCTACATGCTGAAACTAATTGAGTTAAACAGGTTCAAAGACTTGGAGTTATTTACTACACCACACCATTTGATAGTTACCTTTAACTATGAAACCTTGCACAGGAGTGAAGAAAAACTCATGAGACAGAAGCAGATATCAGTGTTTGAGCACCTCCTCCGGCTAGGCCCTGACCATGCCAGGCAGTAAACTGGACACCATCACGTAAGGCAGTGAATCTCCAGTGGCCAGGGAGTTGGGGGTAGAGGAAACTTCCTTAGGCTGATGTCTGGGTCTGCAGAGGGCTTACTTACTAGGCAAGAGCGGTCAGGAACCAGAGATTGCAGAAACCTGGTGTGAAGGGAGGAAAGAATTAAAATAGCAGAGCCTCAGGGCTTCGGTAAACATTGACCTTAAGCACTACTCTGCTTATTAAGTGAGATACCGTTAGGACTTTACAATTGTGTGAGCTGCCGCAGGTCTGAGAATATAAGGTGTGTAGTTGGTATCAGTTACCACATTACTGTATATTAGGCAACTGAAAAAACCCAGTGCATAGCATGCCTGTGCCTGGCCTCGGGAAAGACTCCCCTGCGCCCTGCTCAGAGTGCTTTCTCTGTCCCTAAAAGCTAGGAAGAGAAATGTAGATTGGCAAAATCCAAGTCCCAGAGACTACCAGTTCTGTGTCTTCACTTTGTCTCTGGAGCTTGTGCGTGTTTTGTGGGGCTGGTTCAGGAAGGACCAAAGGCATTGTAGGCTGTAAATAAACCTCCATTCTCTCCCGGAAGACCTGCTACTTCTCTGCTGTGAGTAAGTCCTCCCAACTCAAATGGCAGCTCCTCCAGCTTCATGGATCCCTATTGTTTCTGCTTCCTTCCTCTGCCAGTCAGCTCCCTTGGTGGCTGGGCTTCTGTGTTCTCCACGGGGGGACCCACATGCCAGGTTCTGTAATTCCCGAGAACAGTAGGGCCCCTATCACTGAGCTACAGCTGTAGTTAGTGCATTCTTAGAAGTCACAATTAGGAAACCAAATTGGCAGGTTCACTGGAACTGTTCTCCAGCCTTCTGCAGCCACTTCAGTCTCCAGGAGAGGGAGGATGTGGACAGAAGAGGAGTCCTTGCCTCTATTTGGTTTCTTTGACCAGCCCAGCTGTTCTGTCCTCCCTTCTTTGTCTGCACATTCGGCTCCTGTTGGAAAGCTGTGAATTTGGGTTTTGTTTTTTCTTGTGCCTTAATTGGGGTTGAACTAAGAAGCTGGAGAGCTTTACCAGTCTTTTCTCCTAAGGGGAAAAGGAAAGGAACTTCCCTTTCCTCAAGTGACACTTCATCTTCCTCATAGACTGGGTGAGAATCCCTCAGCCTTTTCTGCCTGAGGGGTGTGTACTGTTGCCGCCTTGCCCGGGGCTGTGGGTTCCATGCCTCCTGGCTGACGCAAATGACTGGTAAATAGAGCTCAGGCTGAGTTCATTATTTTTACCAACTAGAAGCCAGAGGGATGGATCTATACAAGTCAAGACAAGTGTCGCCTGTGCATTTCAGAACATGGCTTTGCAGGAAGGAAAGAGGAACAGTGGTTTCTTGTTGCTTTCTATTTGTGTCTTTATAACCCCTCTTCCCTCTTCCTGCCTATCTAGGAACATGGTGAAACTTTACAAGAGCAGGTTTTGTAACACTGATTTCTGCACTACTAGCAATTTAGTGATTGCCTTTCTTCCATCCGTATTTTTTCATGTTTTTTCACGTGCCATGGTTAGCTTCGTGATGGCCGTCATTCATGGCTTGATTCATTCTCATACTGAGTTTCTAGCATCCATCATGACCTGTAGAAGGATGTCTGTCTAAGTCTTTCTTTTTAGTGTGACATAGCCCCATCCCAGCTCTTTCTTCCTTGCCATTGGTGGCAGAGATCCTTATGGTGTCAGTGTTTGATGGTCAGAAAAGAGGTGGCTTTCGTTGGGTGAAACTTGCTTGTTAGGTATCAGTGGCTTTCAGAAGCAACCTTGGATTATTTTCCGCCATTGTCCATGGTCCTCTTGGCATTGAGCTTTCCTAGGACTTGTTGAGTCTGAACCTGTCTCCACTGAAGGCTCGGCCCCTCACTTCCCCTGTGCAGGCAGTCCCAGAGCAAGGCTGCTGGGGGAGGGTGTACATCTAAGGAACGAAAACACTGGTTCTCCTCAGGAGTAGCTCAGTGCAGTGACACAGCGCCGGGGACTCAGCTGACCCACACCTAGCTTACTGGAGTCCGGCAGAAGGAATACCTTTTAAAACATGACGAGTGTGGCCAGCAAGAGGCAGAGATTTTCACTATGGTTCTACATCCCCTTGCAGCAAAAAACTAGACTAGTTGGCAAATTGAAACCAACTGCCCAGTTTGTGTGTGCAGAAGGATTAATTTGGGTGGCATGGGGAGGCAAGCCATAAGGCAAAAGACTGTCTATGATTTTTTTTTTTTACCCCCATGATAGCATTTCTTCCTGAGACATGACTAAACAACCACCACTAAGCCAGCTAGGCCCTTGTGAAATGCAGGAATTACCCACTGCTTACATCCTTTCCCCTTCCATCTTACTGTACCCAGGGAGCTCCTGAAGTAACATATTTTTTCCTTTGAAGAGATGTGGCATGTTGGAGACTTCCTGTCACACTGGGATAGATACTGGATTAGAATGTCAGTAGACCTGAGGTCATAGCTATTCGGGAGGCAGAAACAGGATCACAAGTTCCAGGCTATAGCTAGGCATGGTGACACACCTGTAATCCCAGCACTCAGGAGGCTAAGGTAGGAAGATCACTCTGAGTTCAAGGCCAGCCTGGACTGCACAGTGAGACCCTGTCTCAAAACAAAAAGTTTGGGGAGCTGGGGATTTAGTTCAGTGGCACAGCGCCTGCCTGGCAAGCGCGAGTTCATGAGTTCGATTCCTGGTACTGGAAAAAAAAAATGTTCAAGGACAGCGTGGTCAACTTAGCAAAACCCAGCCTTAAAATAAAAAGTGCATGTGTGTGTGTACACACACACACACAAATTCCAGTGACTGTAGAGCTTCCTCCCACAGTACTGCATTTCTGCCCATCACAGGGGCTTGAGGGTACAGGGCCTTGGAGAACAGTGACTGTAGGACCTTTGGAGAATTTATACATCAGTTTTCAGTATGATCTGGCTGGCGGGGAAGTAGTATACACTCAGCTGATGCTTTCCCATAATTAGCACCCAGAAAGCTGTTGCTTAGAGGCAAAATGGGAGGAAAGTTTACAGTCCCTTGTTGTGTTATTGACTGGCTCTTTCACATTGGATTTTTTCAGAGTCACTGCTATAAAGAGATTGTTGTTGGTCCCCTGAGATACTCGCACTCTCAATAGAACACTTGATTTATGACTCCAACCTGAACTTGACTAGGCAGCCCTCCAGGCCCGCCTCCCACCCCTTCTCTACCTCAGCCCAGGCCAAGCCTGCACTTTGCCCACCTGATTGGCAGGGAGCAAATGACTAAAAGAGATGTGTTGCTAAGCAGCCTGGCTTCATCATTGTCCTTGCAGTTTGAATGAATAGCTGCAGTGTTCAACAGAAATGGAGGATTTTGGCCTCAGAATTAGGAGGGACTTTTCGGGGAAGGGAGCTAAGAACTTGTAGTCTGGTTTTGGCATGGTGCCATGGCTGGAAGTGAATTTGATAACCCTCCTCACACTTTCCCTCCTGAGATGTAGTTGGATGCAGCATTCTTCCTGTAAGTGCAACCCAAATCTCTGTGGCTGTTTTTCTGTGAAGATCTTGTTGCAGAGTTGTCACTGTCTTATCTTTTCCCTCACCAAGTAAAGAGAAAGGAAATAAGATCCAGCAGCTCTCTGTGAACCTATCTTTTACAGTTTGGATCATTAGTTTGGAGTGGCACTTGAGATTGCTGATCCTAATGGTTTTTAGAGAAGTGGGTATATTCTTGCCACTTTACATTTGCAACAACAGAGGAAGGGTTATAGAGTCAAGAGTCAGGAAAGCCAGGTGTGGTGGTGCACGCCTGTAATGTCACAGGGAGGCTGGGGCAGGAGGATTGCCGTAAGTTTGAGGCCAGCCTGGACTAGTGAGTTCAAGGCCAACCTAAACTACATAGTGAGACCCAGACTCAAAAAAGAAAAGAGAGAGAAAGATCAGAGAGAAAGCACCTTGAGCTGGGCACCTTTTCTGTCGCTTATTGGAGGTGTGCTGTATGCGTGTTTTGCAGTTCCATGCACTCTCTCTTCATCCTTATGATATTCTCCTCTCCTTTGCCTATATTAAATATAAGAAAACTGGCTCGGGAACAGGTTTGGGAGTCAGATGTTATACAGGGGTCCCCGCTTGCTTGCTCAGTGCTGGCAGTTAAGGTGTAGTGCTCTAGGGCACTGGCCAGTCATACTGCCTGAACCCAGGGGAGCAGCAAGCAAGATGCGAGTTACACAGGTGGCCATGGCAGGATCACTGCCACCTGGTCTCCTTGGTGTCAGTTGATACTGGTTCCTGCTGGAGGCCATGGCAGAAGGCTGATGTGAGGCTCTAGCACCCAGCTGCTGTGATACAGGAGAAGGGGTAGGAGGCTCTAGGGTCCCAGGAGCCCTAAGGTACTGCTCACCATTAGGGTGCCGGCAGTGCTTTATCCCTCTTCTCCTTCCATAAAAATCCCAGATGTCTCAGTGAAGAGAGGAGCTGTGGCTTGGGAGCCCAATCTTACCTCTTGTGTATTTCTTTCCCTTTGACAGGATAATGCAGAAGTAGAGAAGCGAGATCCCCAGGAGTTAGTGGGTAAGTACCCCTGGGAGCCCCAGGGCCATGCTTCTGTACCTTTCCCTGAGCAAGCTGGCTTCGGGCCACACCAGCCTCTGGGCCTCGGGCTTCTCTCTGCTGTGCATCCTTTCTTCATACTTCTTGTCGGGACCTTTGGCATTTCTAGGGTGACTGGGTAAGACCCTAGGGAACAGTTTTTCTTTGAAAATCAGATTCAATGGTGCGTTTTCTTGGGCTTTGGTCTGTTGCCAGTGTTGTCAGGAGGGAGTTGAAGGCCTCCATCAGTTGGGAGCTCATCTTGGCCTTTGCCTCTTCCTCTTGTGCCCTGGGCCCGGCTTCTGTCTTTGTACCCTTCTCCCCCTCCACTAGCATATTCATGTTGTTCAGCATGTGGAGTCAGCATGTGGCCTCTGCTGGCGCTTTTCTTTGTCCTCATAGTCCTGGCTTCTGGGGCCCTTGCTGACTTGGGAGGGGAGAGCCATTTTTGGAAAACCACATACCATCCATCCTTTGCCACCCCGATCTCTTAATACTTTTACAAAGCTCCATGGCCCATTTAATTTGGCCATGGACTTTGAAACGGCTCCACAAGCCTGACCTAGGGAACGTTCCCTCTCAGTGGGCTCAGCTCTCCCTCCCTGTGGTGGCCATTATTGCTTGCCTTGCCTGTTTCTCAGATCTTCAAAGTAGGTTCCACTTAGCTGTAGTTCTGTCTCTATAAGTACCTCGCGCCAAACGATGGCACCACTGGAGTGTCCTCTGCTTCTAAGGACACCTCTAGAGCCTACTGCCTTGTGTCTGTCGTGGCATTCGGGACTTTCTGAACCAGAACCAGAGCCGTAGTCTAGAAGGGCTGCACTAGCATCCCTCCCACCTATCCTTTCTCCAAGTAAGACTCTTGTTGGAAGTGGGAGGTGGGATCCCATTCTGATTTCCCCTAACTAAAGAGTGAGGAATCCTTTTTCTTGTCTTCTGAGAAAGGATTGGGTAGAAGCATGACAACTTCAAGCAGCCTACATCCTTAACAGGATTCTGCCTCAGTCCCTGGGTTCCTTAATGAATAGAATTTGAATATTTTAAATCCTATAAAAGCCAGTGTTTTCCTAAAGCCCAGTGCCTGTCCTTTAAATAGTAACAACAGGAGGTATGCAGCAGTTGGCTTCGAGAGCAAAGGAAGCCAAGCACATGTCTGCTAGGAGGGCAGTGGCCCATTCCTACTGGGAATCTGTGGGCAGGAGTCTTGGCCTCTTCTCCCCTCCGGGCCGCACCTGACCATACTACTGAGAAATGTCACAGCTGGGGGTTAGAGAGCAGCCTGCCAGTGAGCTGACACGGTGCTGCCCTCCACTGTCACTGGCAGCGCTGGACAAGGGATGGAACGTATGTGGGCATCAGTCAGCTCAGCCCTGACTTCTTCAGGCACCTGGGCGCTTTTTCGCTCCACTTTTTTTTTTTTTTGTCTTGAGACAAGCTCTCACTGTGTATAGTCCAGACTGACTTCAAAGTCACGATGATCCTCTTGCCTCAGCCTTCCAGGTGCTGGGATTACCGCTGTGTGCCAGCACTCCTGGCCTCTCACCACATTTTTAGGAAAGAAAAAAAAAAAAAAAGCTTTGCTGAAGTATAGTTTCAGAGTAAGGTTTGCCAATTTTAAGAGTGCCATTTGATGAATTTTGACAGGTGTGTGTAGTTGTGTTAGCCCCACTATGATGATGAGGCAGAACGCCTCCATCTCTCTAAAGCTTGCCTTTTTGCTTCACTTGCCTTTATATATGGTTTCTTCCCTCAGCCTCAGGCAGAAAGTGATCTACTCTCCCCATAAAAGTTTTGCCTTTTTATTTTTTTTACATAAAAATCCTTTATTGAACATAGGAATAAATGGATTTTCAAATTAATTATTTTTACTTTAGGGTTATTAGTTCTGAAGCTGTCTGATCCATGGTAGAACTTGCTAACTGGTACTATACGAAGATGCTTTTCTATTACTTCTTCTATATTCATAAACAAATATATTTAAATCTAGATAGAAACATTTGTGATTAGATTAGTGCATGGTAATCCCTGCTATCTGCACTGCTCAAGCTGGCAATAGGGGATCATCCTCTCTACAGCAAATTTGAAGCACAAGCACAAATTTGAATTTTATACAAAAATTCAGTTTTACTCTTATTCTTACATTAGTGGGAGCTGACATCTGTAACTTACAGGCAAGCATATACTTTTGTTTTCTACCTCCTAGCTGAACAAAAATATGTATAATGTATTGTTTGCATTAAGCAAGACTTGCTTTTTATATTTCAATGAGAATACCATGTGACCCTTTCATGAACAAAATGACCAGGGTACTAATTGAACCATCTTTGGAGGAAGTACTTAATATGCATATCTTATTTAAATAAATCCTCCAGTAAGAAATGGAGAAGTCACTGCCTTTACTTTGAAGGCTTTGTAGCTATCTGTCAAATTTCTTTTTTTTTTTTTTTTTTTTTGTTTTTCTCCGGTACCGGGAACCGAACTCACGACCTTGCGCTTGCCAGGCAGGCGCTTTTGCCGCCGAGCTAAATCCCCAGCCCCTATCTGTCAAATTTCTATGTGCAGCTCACCAACATTCCCTTATTGGAAATATCGGTATTTCTGTATCATAGTTCTCAAAAGAACTTGAAACTCTCAGAATTCTGTATCTCCTTTGGCTTGCCCCTCTCTTGATTCCACCCAGGCTTTATTAATGGTTCACTTCATATCATCATCTCCATCTTCATAAATTTTCTTTAGAACATTCATTAATCCCTCACTAGGATCTGTCTCAGCATCATAGGATGGCTTTTCTTTTTCTTTGCATTCTTTTTCAACCTGAGTTAAGTACTCCCACTGAGTGTTTTCCACTTTTTTTCTACACAAGATAAGAACTGTATCAGTCTTGATTTTTTTTGAACTGCCTTCCACCGAGGTGGATTTGAAGAGATTGTTCACAATCATAGAGTAACTCTTCCCAGTTAGATTCTTTACCATAAGATCAAATGACCTCTCTGTGAAATGCACCTGCACATTCTCAGCAGGAACTTGATGAACTCCAGTTACGGTAATACAGATTTTCACAAACCTATCTGACTGATCCCTTCTGTAATTACTGATCTTCACCATGTATCCTGTTGTGATGGGAGCAACCAAGCAGCGGGTTTTTCATTGTCAAGAAGTTCTGGTTTCTTCTGTGATTTGTGTTGCATCTTATTCTTTATTTCTGTTTCAATCTTGGATTTTTCAGCTGTCAGGGCATCACGTACTCTCTTCCTAGTGGCCTTTTCTAGCAACGCCTTTACCTCTTCTAGATCATCCTGCAACTCCTCCAAAGCCGAAGCCATGGTTGGGTGGGGTCGGGCTGAAAACCCAGGCTGCCGATGTGCATGAAAGGTGAGGAACAGCCGGACCCGGCGCGCTGTCCGCGAGCATGGACCTCACTAGCACAAGCCGCAGGCTTGCCTCTGTGAATGCAGAGGCCAACCTGCGTGAGACTGCGGCTCACCCTCCGCAGGCAGCGACTCTCAAGTTTTTAGAATTTTATATAAATTGAGCTGGGCGTGGTGGCACACACCTATAATCCTAGCACTTGGGAGGCTGAGGCAAGAGGATCAATGTGAGTTTGCATCCAGCCTGGGCACAAAGTGAGGCCAACCTGAGCTGCATAGCAAAACCCTGTCTCAAAAAAGACAAAAACATAAAAAACATAAAAAAACCCTGTCTCAAAAAAGACAAAAACATAAAAAACAAAAAAAAACCCTGTCTCAAAAAAGACAAAAACATAAAAATAGAATTTTATATAAATTGGAATCTGTTGATCCTTTGGGCTAGAACATTCCAGCCATCATGTGAATTATAGAATATCTAGTAGTATCATTGGTCTCTAAAAATACCAAAACCATTCTCTCTTCCTCTCGCAGAATGAGAATATATTCCTGAGAGGGGCAAAGTCATCCCAGTTGAGAATGACTGATAGAAATGGAATTAGAGTTTTCCTGTCTGGCTTCCTTTACTTGGCATGATGCTTTTGAAATTCATCTAGGTCCTTGAACATATCCATCATTTCTTTCTTTTTACTGCTAGAATATTTCATTGTAGGAATGCACCACAGTTTTAGTCATTCACCCACAGAGGACACAGGGCCTTTTTTGGTTCTGTTTTTTGAGACAGGGTCTTGCTATGTAGTTGAAACTGGCCTTGAACTCACTATGTTAGCCCAGCCTGGCCTCGAACTCATGATGATCCTCCTGCCTCACCCTCCCAAGTGCTGTGATTACAGGCATGTTCCACCACACCCAGCTAAGGGTCCTTTATAGTAAGGAACAGACGGGAGGAGGAGCACAGAGAGAAAATAGAGCTCTTCATACTTGCTTTACCACCTCCAGCCATCTTTGTCTCATCCTCTCTTTTGTGAAAGAAACCTGGCCCCAGGCCTCTTAGGGCCGGCATCTACATCTGTCACTTCTTTTGGGCTGAGGAGAGAAGAGTATATTGGCTATGTGTTCAGCAACAAGGAGAAAAATTGCTGCCCTCTAAAAGAAAAAATACTTAACTTTTTAAAGATCCATTTTGGGGCTGGGAATTTAGCTCAGTGGCACAGCGCCTGCCTGGCAAGCGCTAGGTCGTGAGTTTGATTCCCAGTACCAGGGAAAAAAAAAAAGATCCATTTTGCAGTGCTGGTCACGTCATTAGTGTAGTCCAGAGTAGCTTCCATTCGTGATGTCAAGGTTGTCAGCACCTCTGCCTGAACTGAACTCCTTTCGTTAAGTAGCTTCTCCGGGTATACAGACTCAGGTTGTTCACTTGGCATGGGAAGCATATCCATACACATGGACACCTCTCCCTTTAAAAGAGCAACCAAGAGAGGAGAAAAGCCCACCTGTAGTTGCCTCCAGAACGGTAGCTCCTGACATAGCTGACAGTGCCGTATGGGGGACTCCATTGGTGTCCCACCCTGGAAGGGTGCGCTGTTGTGGCAGTCTAGATGGGCTCCCCTGTGATATTTCTGAACTGGAAACACTCCCATTGCCTCCAGCTTACAGCCCCTCTGCATCCTGCAGTCATCCGTACATACCCCAGTCTTGTCTAATCTTCTCAGTCCCTGAGGTCTCAGCCTATCAGACCAGCTGCTCCTGCTCAGATTGCTACCTGGCAGGGATGGATATTTTCTGATGTGGGCGTGCACAGGTGACTCATGTTTACTTCAGGCTTCTCCAGTCCTAAGTGCAGACCCAGGCAGCAGCCATACGCACAGGCACTGCTTCTGAATGTCTATGGACACATTGCTGGTAATATTTCCCAGGAAAATGGTTTGAGCCTCTGGCTGCTTTCTGTCAAGATCTGTGGAACTAATGTCATCTGTATTGGACTCATTCTGGAACTTAGGAAAGAGAAGCACTGAGAAATTGCTCTTGAAACTTTTGTATAAAAATAGTATACTTTTATTTCCCAAATGTGTCCCTTTATTGTCAGTTACTAGGAATTCTGTTGTTTCTAGCCCAGTTCTCAGAAGGGGTTTCCTACCTGCTGCCATATTCTCTACCATTTATACCCCAACAGTAGCGAGGTTTCTATGGCAACATGTCACACCCTATTTTTCTAAAAGGCTTTCCTGGCAAATGCCAAAGGGCATGCTTTGTCTCTTTGTCACATGTACACATACTCTCCAGCCTAGGGAACAAGTTAGCCCTCCTCATTTATATGTCGGGTGCCTGCCAAGGCCTCCTTGCTTTTGTTGCTGTTATCCATGAAATATGAAGACTAGCTTTTCCCAGCTGCTTCCACTCTCAGCTGGTCTCGGCAGCCTGCTTGAGCTCAGGCCTAGTACTTTTGCCTGTACTACAGCTGCTGGGAGGAAGGCGGAAGTCAGGATGAGGCTTGAACTCCATCCAGAGCTGGGTGTCGCCCTCGCTTGAGGAGTGAGGAGATAATAGGAAGGTGCTTGCCAGAAAGAAGCACGTAGTCCCCCTGGCTGACGCTGCTCTTGGGCTGCAGTGGTGACCTTTGATCTGAGTGTTGCTCAAACTCCCTCCTCTTGCCCTCCCTCAGGCTGATGCTCTCCTTGAGGTGTATCCACAAGAACCCACTGGCAATGTAAATCTCCACATGTAGTCCTGTTCTAAGACTGCCCTGGGCTTGACCTGCAGCCTCAGCGTGTTTGCAGTGTGTGCAGGCTGGGGCCATAGCAGCTGGATGAAGTTTGGCAGCCTTGTCCCCAGCCCTGCTCAAAACTGTGTGTGTCGCAGTAATAATGAGACCAAATGAAGAACAAAGCAGCTAAGAAAACATTAACTGAAACCAGGCACAGAGGAGCACCGTTTGTTGTCCCAGCTACTTGGGAGGCTGAGACAGGATTGCTTAAGACCGGGAGTTCAGAGCCAGCCTGGGCAACATAGTAAGGCTGTGTCACAAAAAACTATTGTTTTTTATATTGACCTAATCTTGGGAAGAGAGACCAGAAAGACTGCTAGGCCAGGAAGCCAGGAAGCCCCAGGGACTGCTCTAAGAAATGGGTTTGCTTGAGGCCTGGTGCTCAGTAGGTCCCCTAAGTACTTGCTGGATATCACTGGTGGTGGTTTGTTCATTCTTTCCCTTCCTCCTGCCCCACCCTGTTCTGCCCACTGTTTGCTCATTGTATAGTCCTTTTCATGAGAGAATGTTTCAAAGAGCACAGACAGAATCTTACAACAAGCAGCACATTGTCTGAGTGATCCAGAGCAGGACTCTGCGGTCACCAGGGTGGCCAGAGGCTAGAGGGAAGGGAGTGGGGAGAGAGAGGGCGAGGCTTGGGTGGGCAGAGGCAAATTTCTGAGGGAATTGTCCCTTGGGGGTTGTGGTTCTGCACATCAGAACCAAGCCTTTTGTTCCAAAAAAAACGAGGTGGGCCTCTTAAGAGAAAATTGATTGGTTTATTTTAAAAGACCTTAGTAGGATTGGGGGTGTAGCTCAGTGATAAGGGTATTTGCTTAGCATGTGCCAGGCCCTGGGTTTTATTCCTAGCACTCCAAGACAAAACATACAAATAAAAAGATCCTAAGAAAATAACCAACAGGTAATTATTAAGTGTCTTTATGTGCCAGTAGTTTTGGACACTCTGGGACCTGAAACCTGGGGAACCCTGAACGCAGTTTTTCCCGTAGCATAGGTAGGTCTGCCCAAAGCAAGCAGGGCAGCGTCAAGCAGCTCTGACTCTCCGCGTCCTTGGAGAGGCACTGGGGGACTATCTGGTAGGAGACTGCAACCTGCTCACACTGTGGGCCAGTTGTGCACAGCTCTTCCCAGCCCTGGGTTCCCTGACTTCATGGTGGTAGCTTGAAACTGGCTACAGCAGAGTTTATACCCAGGGATGGACAGATACTTCGATTGTGGCTCTCCTCCACAGCTGCTTATATAAACATTTCCCGGCATCCTCTTTGCTTCTCAGTGAACCACTGGGATCTGGTGGATCATATTCTTTACATCTGTGTCCTCTCCCTGGATTTCTCCTCCTCCAGGTTGGCATATCACTGGTTCCTTCTGGTTGTTGGATCTCAAGTGACACTGTCTCTAAGAAGCCATATCTGAATGCCCTGTTTTACTGTTTTCACAGCATGTGTCCCTCCTTAAAAACATTTATATGCTTGTGTTTTTATGTCTATTTTTGTCCCCTGTTTTAACCTCACATACAGAACTGTTCTGTTTTTCTCTACAGCCTCCTTTTCTGAAAGGGTACGGAACATGTCTCCCGATGAAATCAAGATCCCCCCAGAACCTCCTGGCAGGTGTGCAAATCACTTACAGGTAAGCAGAAGGCCCCAACACCAATCATGTCACTTCATGCCAGACAACAAGCTCCAGCCTGTAAAGACAACTCCAGCCAGACGACCAGCCACTCAGCCCTCAAGTTCAGAATATTCCTTCTTTTTAAGATTCTCCTGGAGGTAGAAACCATGGCATTTGAGTAAACAGTTCCATTCATCTGAGGTAGCACAACAAATCAGATGCCCCTGGCAACCTGACCAAGCCAGCTAAGAGGGGTTTGTCTCAAATTGCTGAGCCTACTGTATAAGGCCTTGAAGAGATAACATTGAGAAAAGTAGTTTGTCATTCTCAGCTTCTCTCATTCCTGGTAATTAAGTGTGTTACAAACTTCTCGATGCTTCCTCAGTCCCATCTGGGCAAAAAGATTAAGCTTTCTGACAGGACAGTGGGCCACCTCTTCTGATGTCCTAGGAGTTTGGCAGGGGACTTCCAGCCCCATCTACCTCCTCTTGCAGGTGACAGGTGCTCTAAATGTTTTCCTCCTGGAGAATCTGTGTATTTAACGGCCACTGGGGAGCCACAGGTAGATCTACAATTGTGCCACCACCTACCTTCCTGGGTAAGACCGCGCTCAGAGATGGCTCTACCCTGAGATCTTAGGTATCTTGGGCCTCTGCCAATACTAGGCAGCTCTGATGCCATCAGCCAAAAGCGTCATCTCTGTGTGCTGGGCAGGACCCCCTTCCTGAGGACACCTGTGTCCACTGACCACACACAGTAGGTAAGCTTGGATCTCAGCCAGGTGGTTCTCCTGTTTCTAATCAAAAGCCAGGCCAGGGCTCTATAGAGGAGTTTTGGTGAGAAATAAGCCCTTAATCTTTGACTGTGATCGTGCCTGTGAGGACTCCTACTATGAAGCATTAGGAAACCTGTCTTCTATTGTGACACAATGAGCTCAACGGTAGAGCACTTGCCGGGTGTGCGCGAGGCCCTGGTTCCATCCCAGGCACCACAAAAGATATTCTAGAAAGTTTGCGAGGCCACCTTTAGAAAACTACTCCTGCCTTCCTCCAGAAGAACACAGCCCCTCCCTGTCTCTTGCGATTCACAGTTCTGCTAAGATCTTAACTTCATGTTGAAATTTAAAACCAGGTGATTTGAGAGCTGATTTGTTGTTTGTCTTCTCCATGGCTTCCCTCCCTTGACCTTTTTGCTGCTCACTATACTGACCGTCCAAAGGAGGTCAGGAAAAATCAGCAGCAAAAACAGGCTAGTCTTGATTTATCTTGCCTGTGCATAGCTGCTGTCAAAGGCTAGGTGGGAGAGGAAAATGTGGCTGGTGTCAGGCTTCACATGGCTTAGGGGGTCTTAGGTTCGTACCACAGACCAGAGTGGGGGCGAATGGGCTTCTGTTGAGCATGTCTTTCTGATTCTTCTCATAGGACAAGATACAGAAGCTGTATGAGCGAAAGATAAAGGAAGGAATGGACATGAACTACATCATCCAAAGGAAGAAAGAATTTCGGAACCCCAGGTGAATCTCTCGTGAGCCTGCAGATAAGTTGAGTCCAGTTAATGCTGGACAGGGGACCACGAATCCCCATGGTGGGGAGAAGCCCATCCATGATCCCACCTAAACCCAAAGGGGCCACACCCAGGCTTCTCCTTGTACTAAATGCGTGCTGCACACAGTCAGCTGCATTAACCAGTAAGATCCAGGCTAAGCATGAACCATTCTTGGAGTGGTGGCTGAAAGACCTGGGAAAGCTGGGGAGGCCCAGCAGGGTTCCGCCACTGCCTGCTCTAAAGCGAGGCTTCGGCTTCCCATTTGTGCAGTGAAGGAGTTGGACTAGACAGTGGCTGTGTAGGTTCTTCTTCCACCTAAAAAGCTGGCTTTGCATACAGGTGAGACATTTTAGGAACAGAACAATATCTGGGAGGGGCTGGGGATTTAGCTCAGTGGCACAGCGCCTGCCTGGCAAGTGCAAGGTCGTGAGTTCGATTCCTGGTACCGGAAAAAAAAAACAAAAACAAAAAACAAAAAACAAAAAAAAGAACAATATCTGGGTCTTCACTCTGTCTTGTGCTTGAGCTACTAACTTACCCAAGGAAGAACACAGTGTGTCACAGCAGCAGCCTACCCTGCCCTTCATATGGGCTTGAGCATGGTAGACTGGAGGCCAGAGATATCTGAATTAGGCACAGAATGCAGCCATCCCTTCCCCCACCCCCATCCTGGCCCCAGCTACCGTTCCTTCTCAGAGGAGGGTGGGGAACCAGAAGTGATAAGGTCAGGCCTGCCATCAGGAAGCTTGCTTGGAACAATTGAGCTGGGCTTAGTTTCATCTCTTCACTTCAGCTCCAGGATCTGATGGGTCTGGGGCTGTGCAGGGGTGGGATCAGTGCCTGCTCACTGCTTGTGCTGTTCTCTTTTCAGCATCTATGAGAAGCTGATCCAGTTCTGTGCCATTGATGAGCTAGGCACCAACTACCCAAAGGTATGTGCCAAATGTGGAGGACCGAGGGTGATGCTTGCTGTGTTGTGTTTGGCCTACAGCCACAGCAAGGTACATGGAGCAGCACTGCCGGTTGTAGACCACAAGCCCCATCTAGCCCTGGCCCTGGGTCCCTGATCAGTTAGAACCCAGCAGGCTCCCTGCCCCTGTCGGCCAGCCACAGGTGTTGCTGAGCAAGAGCATCATTACTCCTGTGTTCCTGGCTGTGCTGGGCCTGGAGAGTTGGACATAGCAGAGCCCCCATGCTGTTAAGAGGATGGAGCTAGGAAGGTCCACAGAAAGACTCTGAACTCCTTAGTCACCAGATGGTCTCTACTGACAGCAGCTTAATCTTTTCTTTTTTAGGATATGTTTGACCCCCATGGCTGGTCTGAGGACTCCTACTATGAAGCATTAGGTATCCTGTCTTCTCTCTACATGTCCATCTGCCCATCCACTCATCCATCTTGTTTTCTGTTTGTCCATCCAGTCAGTGGTCCAGACACAGTACATTTCAGATTTTCCTCTACACAGGCCACATCCAAGGGACTGGTGACTCAGTCTTGAACAAGACAGACCCAATCCCTGACATACAGGACTTAAACATACTTGCGAGCTGAGGCAGGAGGATCATTATGAGTTCAAGACCAGCCTGGGCTACAAAGTGAGCTTAAAGCCAGCCTGGACTGCATAGCGAGACCTTGTCTCAAAAAGACCAACAAACATGACTTAAACATAGCAAAGAAGACAGCTGGTTGAACCACTAATTCCAACACTGACCAGTATTAAGATGTGGTACATATTAAGAGTTGTGGTACCAGAAGGAGGGGAGAGCCTTTGGCAGCAGGGCCACCTGACTTGCCCAAAGGACTAGGAAGACCCTACTGAGAGAACCTGGTCAGAGAATCCCCAGGCAGAGGGTACAGGATGAGCACATTTCTGAGCGCAGGATGAAGAACTGGAAGAAATTTCACAGGGTCCAAACGTGGTTGTGTTGTGTTGTGTTTTGTTTTGTTTTGTTTTGTTTTGTGACAGGGTCTCACTGTGGAGTCCAGGCTGGCCTCAAATTTGCAGCAGTCCTCTTGCCTCAGCCTCCCAAGTGCTAGGATTACAGGCATGCAGGTCCAAATTTTTTTGGACCTGCCATACCTGGCAGGTCCAAATTTTTTAACTCACACGTCTCAAAACCAGATCCTGACTAGTTGTTTTGTTTGTTTTGGGTTGTTTTGTTTGAGGTTTTTTTTGTCTTTTTGAGACAGGGTTTCACTGTGCAGTGCAGGCTAGCTTGAACTCACTCTGTAGCCCAGGCTGGCCTTGACCTGACTTGTTGACACTATGTTTTGTTTGGCTCACAAGTTTTGTCTCCTAATTTGAATTAGTTGCCAACATTTTATATAAAATTCCATTAATTCCAGCTTCTCTTGGTCAGGAGGAAGCTAATCAACCCCCACTGAGTTTGCAACCCCTGGAACTCAGGAGGGCCTGGTCCTGCCGGACAGGACGTACAGCACCCAGGCCCTTGGGTTGAAGCCTCTGTTCTATGGTGACCAAGAGCTAGAACTTCATTTTGTCTATTGCGAAAGGACACTAAGCCCATTTTAGGGACTTTAGCCCACTCAAAAGAACCCAGGGCCATGATAGCACACACCTGTAATCCCAGCACTTGGGAGGCTAAGGCAGGAGGATCGCTAAGTTCAAAGCCAGCCTAAACTGCATAGTGAAACCCTGCTCAAAAAAAAAAAAAACACAGGGCTCAGGACGGTGAGGGGACTAGCTTCCCTCCACCCACAGCTGCTCTGGGCCCTTTAATAACAGCTTCTCTTGTCTTTAGCCAAGGCCCAGAAGATTGAAATGGACAAACTGGAAAAGGCCAAAAAGGAGCGAACCAAAGTAAGTGATGGCAGACCCAGTGATAGAAAAGTCAAATGCTGGAGTGCACAGGTCCTGCTGGCTGAGCCCAGGAGTCCCAGGCTCCCTACACCGTCACCCAGGAGGCTCTCAGCAGCCTTGTCTGTGCCCTCCGCTCTGGCTCCTACGTCCCGGCCTCTGACGAGGATTGTAAAAAACTCCCACTCCTCTGTCCTTGTAGTTCCTTGTCTCGTGCTTCCGCTCTCCTGCCCTCTCCCCTCACAGTTAACAGAGCTCTGGTGGCTTCAACTCTTAGGAGCCATTTGTCACTCCCTTGCCACCCAGGCCTGAATGGAGGGAACAGTTTCCTTCTGAACGTGTGGAGGCCCAGCCTGCTCCCGTCTACATTTCTTGGCCTGCAGAGCTGACCTCACTGGCCTGCCTGGGTGCTTTGCTATAGGCCCCATGTCCCATGCCAGGTGACCCCTCGTTTTAAGACCACTTCTTCCCTAACAGTGTGGTCTGGATCCTTCAGAAGCATCAGTTTGGCTCTGATGCCAAATGTTACCCTGTGGTTGCTGTGCCTTTGTTTGTTTATTTGGGGGTTTTTTTGGTTTTTTTCCAGTATCAGGAATCAAACTCATGACCTCGCACTTGCCAGGCAGGCGCTGTGCCGCTGAGCTAAATCCCCAGCCCCCTGCTGTGCCTTTGTGACCAGAGTCTCTGAGAAAAAAACTCGAGCATCAGGACACTGGTCCCTCCCACCTCTGGTTAGGCCTGACCTGCCTTGAAGCAGCTGCAGCCCCCAGGAACTGCCTTCACTCTTCTGTAGAGGGCTGCAGGGCCTGGATGGGCTGATGGCCCTCGAGGTCTCGGCTGGCAAGCCAGGAATGTAGGAGCTGGTGTGAGGGGATAATCCAGGTTTCTCATTCTTAACCCTTGATTGAATCTCCCTTCTCTCTTTCCTTCTCCCTTCCAAACCCCGGGCTTATTGCAGGGACGCATCTGGAGCACCTGGGGACTGGAGCTGTCCTTCCCCTGTGTGGGCGGGCACCGCCTCCTTCTGGTGTGAGGAGGAGGGGCTTGGCCAACTGGTCCTGGGCATGTGAGGCTGGGTGGCGGGCAGGGGTGCCAGGCATGCGCAGTAACTTGTGATGCTGGGAGGGATCTGACGTCTGTTGGGAAAGCTCTTTGAAGAGTGGTAAAAGCCCCTTTGGCCTTCTCTCAAGCACCTCTCCCTCCCCTGGATGCTCATAGCCAAGGTGATTTTCGATGCCTCCTGTATGTGGTGCCAAGCTCTTGTCTCCCTGGAACAAACAGATGGCATGGGAAGCGAACACACAGTTCTTCAGTGGTCTTTTTCTCCTCTCTCTCTCTCTCCAGATTGAGTTTGTGACGGGCACCAAGAAAGGCACCACAACCAATGCCACAGCCACCACTACTACTACTGCCAGCACAGCTGTCGCAGGTAGAAGGCGGCTTGTCCCAGCTGCACCACTGTTCTGCTTCCCAGCCACACCAGATAGAGGGAGGATGTCCCAGGCTTGCCTGGGGTGTAGGCCCTATCGGGTCTGGGCGTATGCTTCCTGTGTTCTTTTAGAATCGAGTGTGAGAACCGGTCTTGAAGCCTAGGGTGGGCTCCGGCACATTGGCTGCTCTCAGGTTTCCTGGCCAGGGCCCTTCCATTTCTATTCTGAAGGGAACGAGGGCTTCTACTTTTGGGTTAGTCTTGAGCCTGACTTTTCTCTTTATCTCCAGATGCCCAAAAGAGAAAGAGCAAGTGGGACTCTGCCATCCCAGTGACCACAATAGCACAGCCCACCATTCTCACCACCACAGCCACCCTGCCAGCCGTCGTCACCGTCACCACAAGCGCCAGCGGCTCCAAGACCACTGTCATCTCCGCTGTGGGCACCATCGTAAAGAAGGCCAAGCAGTGACCAGGGGCTGCTCCAGGACTTGGCAGGACGGTGCAGCCCAGTGACTGCTGCCCACTGGGAGCACCACTTTGTACATTTCAGGACTTGGATGTGCTCCCCAGGTGCCACCTGAGAGGAGCCTCTTATGTGGCATTCCAGCCAAAAGGATACTATAGAAGAGGCGCAGGGTGCACTGGACAGTCTGTCAACACCTCTTGGGTACCGCCCATTAAAAGTGCCGTGTTCTTTCATCCTGGCATCTTGGGTGCACTGGCCTCTCTCACTTTTCAGGCAAATGTGAAGCTCAAGTGCTCCTTCTACCTCCTCAGCTGTGATTATTGCCTCAGGATTGACTGTGGAGTGACAGCCCTGTAGCATGCTCAGAGGTGTGCCTCAGGAAGCCACCGTGATCCTTCCCACTATATGCCTCTTGGACAGGCAGGTGGCAGCCCAGGGACAGGGTGATACACCTTGTTCCTGCTGTCTGCTGCTCTGATCCTGAAACCAGATCTCCAGTTCTCAGGCAAGAGCTGAGGCCTCTGCTCACTTGGGTGCAGTTAAGCACTCTCCAGATGGCTTCTTAGACATGCCTACAATTTCAAAATCAGGCCAGGTACCAGAAGGCTAGGGTGAGATCCCCAGCTCACACAGGGAGAGGAGGCAGTGTGGGCACCTGGCCAAGGCTGCCCAGTCCCTCACTGTCCAGTGCAGGATCCAGCCAGTGGGGGAGATGAATCACCTCCTCTCTGGCTGGGCAGCAGCTCATTGTTTACATGAAAGCCCCACTCCTGGGAGGGCTTCTGCCACCCCACCCTTCCTCTGTTGTTATCTCTGCCCGGCAGCAGCCCCTGGGCAGCACCAGTGGCCAGTGGACTCTTCTTGGGCCAAACAGCTTTCCTACTACTTGTCAGCCAGTCTGGAGGGGACAGTCTGCCTTTCGTGCTCTTTGGGAGCTCCCTTTCCGCTGCAGCGGAAGGGCTGAGTGTCAGAGAAGGAAGTTGAGCTGTGAAGAGCTCTATTACTTCCATGGAGCCAGTGAGGACTGAGAAAGATCACCCTGAAATTGTACCTGGAGCTGTTGCATGACCTTAGGAGTGGGATGGACTGTCCCTAAGGTCCCCTAAATAAATGTTGAGTCTCACTTGCCCCCTTCTCTTCTTGGTGGGACTTTGTAACCCCTGGGAGAGGAACCACTGCCCACTTATCCCCAGAAGGGTGTCTGAAAAGGGCCCTGCCATGGGCCAGGGCACCAGAGGTCTAGGAGTTAGTCAGCATGGCAGTGAAAGTGCCACTGGCACCTCTGGCCTGCGTCCCTGTTGAAAATGAGTTGTGAGGTCTGTGAGCCGTCTCTGTCCAATCACAGTAATAAAGTTTCCTAAGGTAGTCTTGAGGTACCAGTGACTTGACTGATGCCAACACTTTCTAAACTGTAAAGTGCTCTGCAAGTGTTTGCTGTTGGCCTCTCCAATTTCTTTTGGTTTTGAACAGGAGAAAGAAACAAACTACAGAAATGACAGAATTAGCCATGGTCATGGGAGTTGGTGACAGCCAGGGACACCCCCTCCCCAACCAGGGGCTCTTCGGCATGGTGGGAGTGAGAGACAGGCAGGCCTTTCCCTGCCACCCTTTGCTCTCTCCTAGGGGCCTGCAGCCGTGTCACTGAGCTGCCCAGTTGAAGTAGTAATGACCAAGCAGTGGAGCTTGGGAAGTGAGCAGAGCGAGCCAGGAGCTGGGGGCCCTGGGCTGAGAGTGCTGCCCACTTAGAAGCTGGCTCAATGTCTTAATCCCCCAGAGCAGTAGTTGACTGCATATAACATGGCATCTGCCACCTCGGACCCACTGAGGGTGGTTCTGTGGACACCGGGTATCCCAGACATTAAGAACCCAGGTTGGGGGCTGGGGATTTAGCTCAGCGGCAAAAGCGCCTGCCTGGCAAGCGCAAGGTCGTGAGTTCGGTTCCCGGTACCGGAGAAAAACCAAAAAAAAAAAAAAAAAAGAACCCAGGTTGTTTCTCACTGTCCAAACTGAGCGAGGCAACCGAGGTAACCCTTTCCCACTTCCACAGTTCAAATCTTGGGCCATGGCATCGTGATCCATCCAGGTCTGCGCACTGGGAAGCTGCACTCCCCACACTGCTTAGGTCACGTTGGAAGTCCCCCATCGCATGACTGCTATCAGCTCAGGGCCTCCCCACTCATGCTGCACAGCCCGCCTGCCTCCCTCCTGTGCTGCCGCAATCACCCCACACCCATGCAAGCCAGCAGTCACCTTCTCTTCCCTAGCTCTTGCCGTGTTGTGCAACTTAGCAGGGCCTAGACTTCACAGCATGTGAGGCCACTGCTTATTGCCTCTCCGCTCACCCGCTCTGTGTCCGCTCCCCATATCCTCCCATTTGCTGCTTCATGGCACCCCTTCACCATTCCTTACCTTCTCACATGTACTTTCAGTACGGAGCTTTTTTTCTTTCTATAGTAGGGATTAAACTCAGGACATACACACTGAGGGACGTCCCCAACTCTTTTTTTTTTTTTTTTTGAGACAGGATCTGAGTTGCCCAGGCTGGACTCCTCCTGCCTCAGCCTCCCAGAGTACAGGGATTAAAGTCATAGGCCACCAAACCTGACTGGGCTCGTTTTCATAATCTGGGACACCCCCAGGCCGTTGTCTGCTCCTTTCTCAGTGCCCTCAGCATTCTTGCCTCTAAGAGAACATTTTACTTCCTTGTGGCTCGGGCCCACATGCGGGTGGGTCAAGATCACTAGTGTCTCCTTGTGAGCAAAGACAAAACAGTCCTAAGAAATGCAATGCCCCAGGTCCTGGCATGAGATAAGTACTCGGGTGATCAGGGGATAGGGGTGGAAGGAGAGGTGAGCTTCACATAACCCAAAGTCATGCTCACTGCACTCCAAGGCTGACCTACCATGTCCCAAGTCACTGGATCACTCAGGTCTTCCACAGCTTGATTCCAGAGGGCCAGTGTAGACTGCCCATGTGCAGGCAATGCTGGACCTCTGTGATAGGAAGCGGGGGTTCATTATTCTCTCTCATTTTGTACTTTTTTCATCGTGGATCTTTGAGATGGAATCTCGCTTTGTTCCCCAGGCCGAGTCCAAACTCCCTGGCTTACGGGATCTCCTCACCTCAGATTCACAAGTGTCTGGGGTTGCAGGGATGTGCAGCATACCCAGCTTTAAACATGTGAAAATCTCTGTAGTAAAATGTTTAAAGCGTTACTGAGTCATTAAAAAAATGACGATCTCCACAGACACATTTGGAATGACTTTTAGGAGAGATTAAATGAAAAGGCAAGGTACCGAACCCTGCCGGTTTTGTGTAAGAAAGGGAGAAAAGACAAGAAGTAGTAGAGGGAAACAATGCAAGAATAAGACCAAAGAAATGAGGGCTGAGATTGTAGCTCAGAGGTGTAGAGCGTGTTGTCTCACAAGGGCAAGACCCTGGGTTCAATCCCCAACACTATATACTAAGGCCCTAACGTTAAATTTGAACTGGAAATACCAACATGAACTCATGATTTTAAAAACAGAAAGCATATTTCCTACTTCTGTCAATTGCATGTGGAAGAAATCCATACACATATAGCACCCAGATCTCGACACCCACCGCAACAGGACCAGGGCTTACTGGAGAAGTGACTGATCTCAAAATCGAAATGAGACCAGGGCAGTTCGTTCCAGAAAGCAGAGAAGCGCTTCCATCAAAGGAGCTGTTTTGAAGAAATTTTCCACTAACCAAACTTGTTAAATTTGCATGCATGTAATTCCAGCACTTGGGAGGCTGAGGCAGGAGGATCAAGAGTGAGACCCTGTTTCAAAAAAATAATAATAATAATAAACTGTCAACTGTTGAGTAAATAAAGATCTATTTATCTGTAGTGATGTTTGAAAACAGAAAAATGTATATTTGCCACCATTATAATTGAACATATCAACTTTTTTTGTTTGTTTTTTTGAGACAGGGTCTGGCTATGCAGTTTAGGCCGGCCTTGAACTCGCTATGTTACCTAGGCTAACCTCGAACTCATGGCAATCCTCCTGCCTCAGCCTCCCAAGTACTGGCATTATAGGTATGCACCACCACGCCCAGCTCAACTTCTTATTATGAAATTAATAATTTTTAAAAATCCCCCTTGTACACTGTTGATGTCACTGTAGAATGGTACAACTGGTATGCAAAACAATATGGTGGCCTCCAAAAGTTTAAAACTAGAACTGCCATACGACCCACAATTGCTGCTTCTGGGTCTATATCCAAAGCAACTGAAGATAAGATCTCAAAGAGCTACTTGCACACCCCTGTTCATACCAATATTATTCACAATAACCAAGAGGTAAGGGGCTGGGGATTTAGCTCAGTGGCAAAGCGCCTGCTTGGCAAGTGCAAGGTCGTGGGTTCGGTTCCCGGTACCAGAGAAAAACCAAAAAAAAAAAAAAGACAATAACCAAGAGGTAAAAGCAATCTAAATGTCCATCCACTGATAACTAAGTAAACCAAAGGTGCTGCACACATATCAGCTTTAAACAGGAAGGAAATCCTGTCACACACTAAAACACCGATGAACCTTAGGACATCATGCCAAGGGAAATAAGCCAATCCTAATGAGATAAATACTGTATGACTCCATTTATACGAGGTATATAGAGTTATCAAGTTCATAGAGATGGGTTTGCATGTAGCTCAGTGGTAAAGCACTTGCCTAGCATATGCAAGGCCCTGGGTTTGATTCCCCTGCACTGAAGGAAAAAAAAGAAGGAAAATGGAAAATTCACACAGAAAGTAAAAGGGTAGCTAGCAGAGACTGCGGGAAGAGTGAAATGGAGGATTGTTTAGTGGATACAGAATAAAAAATTCTGAAACTCTGTTGTACCACATTATAAATTACTTAACGTTATAAACTATACCCTTAGAATTTTTTAGAATGAAGCCAGGCATGATAGTGCAGGCCTGGAAATCCCAGCACTCAGAAGGCTGAAGCAGGATCACTGACAGTTCCAGGCCAGCCTGGGATACATAGTGAGTTGAAGGCCAGCCTGAATTGCATAGTGAAACCCTGTCACAAAAAGACAAAGAGATTTTAATTTTTGACCAGGTTTGGTGGCACATGCATGTAATCCCAGCACTTGGGAGACTGAACCAAGAAGATCACCGTAAATATGAAGCCAGCCTGGGCTACATAGTGAGTTTAAGGCCAGCCTGAACTACATAGCAAGACCCTGTCTCAAAAAAACCAAAAGAATAATAATATAAAAAATTGATTCAGGCCAGGGTCACCAATGGATGTTAAAACCATTCAGCCAAGATTTGCTGAGCAATGAGCAGGGTGCAAAGCATTGTCACCCCCTCTAGATTACTTTTAAAGTGAAAAATGGTATTTTTCCATTGGTACAAATGGTGGTCACTTGCTTACCCAAATGACTGGCTTGAGCGTCCTTGACATTGAAGGAGCCAGTGTCAGGTGTCACTGATGAAACACACACCTATGCCCAGCCTTGCCCAAAATGTGTAATTTACATCCAGACTGTTAGACCCAAACTCTCACTTTCAGAAGGCTAAGAAAAGCTAGGTGTGGTGGCACACACCTGTAATCTCAGCACTTGGAGACTGAGGCAGGAGGATCACTGCAAATTCAAGGCCAGCCTGGGCTACATAGTGAGTTCAAAGCTACTCTGAACTACATAGCAAGGGCTGGGAAGATAGCTCAGTGGTATAAGTGCCTGCCTGACAAGTGCAAGGTCCTGAGTTTTATTCCCAGTTTAAAAAAATAATTGTCTGATCAATCTTACATGCCTATATTTGTTTATCTGAGTAATCAATTTGAAGATATCGATATGTAATACAACCACCATTGTTAATTTCCTATCACCTTGTCTGAAGTTCTGTATTGCTTGTATTTTTTTTGTGTTATTTTGTAAATGTATGTGTGTTTGTTGATATGTTTTCATTCTTTTATCTTTAAAATAAAAAAGTCAGCCCTGAACTATGTATCGAGACTCTGTCTCAGTAAATGAATAAATGGTCAATGTGTAAAAATGTGTAAATTTGAGTCACTTGTTAGAAAACAGATGCACCCTATAGTGTTCCTTGTATGAGACACCAAAAGTATCAATAAAGAGCAAAATTTAAAAAAA